CTCCTCTCTTAACAGTAAAACCAATTAAATAATCCTTTCTACCCACACTTTGAACAAAATTACTTTGATACCTACCCAATGTCATTTTACTCCTTTATCTAGATACTCAACGAGATCGATACCAATAAGTACGCATGTTTTTATATGCTTCGGATATTTTTACTACTCTCGTGCTTTAATATGTACTCATCCCACATGCGATTCAAGCTACAATTTGGCTATAATAATCTGAATGGAACGAATATTACCAATTACATATAATTCTTTCTAATGTAAATTTTTTGTGTATTTTAATCCTGAGGCAAGTTAAACATTAATGTATATACACGAGACTAAGCACATATTTAATTCAATATTATGTTTATTGTTGTGATCATAATTAATCCACCTAATATATTTATATATGTGCAGAATTTTCTCTCTTGTAATTTTGAGAGATTTTTCCAGCATTGTGAATTATAATGCATTGAGTGAAATGCCATATTTCATTTATGAAACAATGTAACAATTGACATAATGGCATCACTGGAAGTCCTGTATAAAAATTACACATTGTTGTTTGACATTAATGTTGCATACGAATAAATAAAACTTTTAAATTGGAGGTTTGTGATATTATTTGTTTGGCATAAAGGCACAATTTGTATTTTAATTTGTAATGTTAGGACCAAGCTGGTGTGGCCATTAGAATTGTCGCAGACTAATTTTTTTAGCACAGCAACGGTTTGGCTTCGTTTTCACAATGTATTCGTATTCCCAGGCCGATCTGGATGAGCGTAAATCTGCACAATTCCTATCAGAATTTTCGGCATTTAACCGTGGACTTATTAGAATCCTCAATTTTTGTTTAGCCTCGTAGTAGGCATCGTCAATAAGACATTCTAATCATAGCGACACATTACACCTTATCAAAGGGACAAGTTAGTTATACATTGTGATAAGAAGCAGGGTGATATAAAGTTATAGGATAGTGGACACGTAATGACAGAAGGATAAATAATACAATTGTTCAACGGACAGTAAATCACAAGTTAAACTACGCTTGTCTCATTGACAAATTGTAATGTGGTGCTGAAAGTGGCAGAGCTCAATGACGATTCTGAATACATTTCAAGAGAAACGATTTGAAACATACAAAGTCCAAAGTCCGACGCAGCAAATTATCATGGAAATTATGACAGAGTATTTAGGACAAGGCGCATTCATTTGAGTCTTCCTGACGGTACGACTAAGTAGCGAAAAAGAGGTCACACCAATTATATACATGTATATTAAAACTATTTAAAAAAATAGAGAAATGAAATGTGTGATGCATTCTAAATTAAATAAGTCCTTCTTATCAGGTTCTTTCATGGATTTTTCACATTTATTGCAGAAAATATTGAGTCCTTTGCATAATTCTTTACATTTTATTTTCAGACTATATTAATCAAATTTAACAAAATAAACGCATATTTTTTTGACAAGCTTTATTTACTATAGAAATTTATTTATATTTTAAAACAGCGTACTTTGATAGCTTTCTTTATCCACATCAATCATTGATTCCTTAATATCGACCGCACCATACGGATTGTTTCTTTATTACCTTGCCTTAACAATAAACCCTATTCGCACTATACTAAAGCATGGAACTACAAGAAAAGTCATTAGATAATATTGCAATAGAAAATTTTATTCAATATCTAAAGTTTCCCACTGTGCATCCATGTCCTGATTATCGCCCTGCTGTTGAGTGGCTGATCAAGCAGGGCAAGTCACTTGGACTGTCCATACACATTGTTGAAATTGTATCCAATAATCCTATTGTTATTCTATGCTGGAAAGGCTATAGGCCTGATTTATCATCAATTCTGCTAAATTCGCACATGGACGTGGTTCCGGTAGACGAGGCTAAATGGACAAGACCGCCGTTCGGTGCCACTATTGATGATAATGGTTTTATTTATGCTCGAGGATGTCAGGTTATCACTAGTAACAAATTATTTATAATTAATTATAACAATTTTTGTTAAACATCAAACTATTCAAAAATTTAGGACATGAAGTGTGTCGGCATCCAACAATTGGAGGCAGTCCGTAGATTAAAAGCAAGAGGTTATTTGGTGCCAAAGCGTACTGTATATATTTCCTTTGTTCCTGATGAAGAACTCGGAGGGATAAGAGGAATGGAGCCTTTTGTTTCAGGTTCAAAGCCCATCAACCAGCCTAATTTGTATTCTGAATACGAATCTATTGAGTTTGCAGATATGAATATAGGGCTATGCTTAGATGAGGGAATAGCAAGTCCGTCAGATGATTACCTTGGATTTTATGAAGAACGCTCTCCTTGGTGGCTTAAGGTTAGCTTTTCTGGGAATACTGGCCATGGATCCTCCTTTATTCACAATACTTCTGCCGAAAAATTGTTACGCTTTATCACTAGGTATGGTTATTTATATTGTTATATATTCTAAATATCCAAAG